CCATTCTTGTCCCGTATAGGGCCTATACGGCGGAACCTTCTGCCTGCAAGCTCTTTTGTGACGTCATATAAAATTTTCATATTTCTCTGTTTGGCTGCTGCTTCAGCTTTACTTGCAAGATTGTCATACCATAAACGTTTGTCTCGCTTGCATGAAAGCTTCACTCGTTTCACCATCTCATTGTAGGAGAATTGGGTTACTGCTTTGAGCGCTCTTGTTTTAGCATTGCCGCGTGTGATCTTTGCAGCTCTGCGGCATTCGATGAGAGACCAGGTAGACTCTGACATCCACGGCTTTCTGTTGCGGGGGCGAAGACCCAAGACATCTTCTGTGTTTGTAAGAAATGCTGATTTAATTGTCTGCCAAATTTGTTCAGTGTTACCGGACACTTCTGGACTTTGGAGCTGTTCAATTGAGGTACTAAGTTTGCTGACGAAAGTGTTTTTTACGTCTTCAGAATTTAGTTTCGAAATATCGAGTTTAGGCAGTGAGTTCAAAGTACGTCGTTGTCCAGCGGTGCAGACTTTTAAACGAAGTGTCGCGACTAGAAGATGATGATCCGATCCGATGTCGGCGCTTCTCTTGCTGCATACGTCCAAGAGGCTGCTTCTCCACATTTTTCCTATACAGATGTGGTCAATCTGATTTTCGGTTTGACCGTCGGGTGACACCCATGTTGACTTATGGCAGGCTTTGTGAGGGAAAATGGAGCCCCCGATAACAAGGTTGGGGTCATTGCACGCTTCAATTAGGAGTTCACCAACTTCGTTTCTGATCCCCAGACCATGTTTTCCCATTATGTGCTCTATGTTTGTGTTGTCGTTTAAGTCACCCATTACAATTAGAATATTTCGTTTATGAGCATTATGAATAATAGACGAAAGCTGATTATAATAGGCCAGTTTTTCATCGGATTCGGCGAGTTCAGTGGGTCCGTAGGTTTGAATTATAGTCACGTTTCGTGCACGGGAGCGACATCGGCACAAATGAAGCGGTCGTTGATTGGCTGCCATTGAAAGAGGGCACGAACCGCAGTTTTGCTGAGGAGAAAACCGACACCATTATGATGGGTATCACTTCTGCCAGAGTACAGAAACTTAGTTCCATTAGATAAGTTGATTTCCCCAGAGTCTTTCCACCTGCACTCGCTGATGCCGATCATGTCAAGCTTGAATTTAAAGAGTTTCCGGAATAGTTGCTCAAGTTTACCTGGTCCGATTAGGGATCGAATATTCCAGACGCCGATCATGGATTTTGATTTCATTGAGAGAAAGTTTTGGTTGTTTCGTGGTTGGTTGTTTAAAATTGTTGTGGTTACAGTTGTACCTATCACATTGATTCTGCTTGAACGTGAGTTTCGCACCTCCAAATCCGTTGTGCGTGCTGCCGAAGCAGGTGGATTCGCCGTATCAGTACGGGTACCACTTGGAGACTGTATTATCATCGGATTTTGACTCATGTTTTATCCAGAAAAGTAAAAGGAAGCAAAGCCCTGACGATGGGTTACTAGCGCAATGTCAGTCCTGTAAGCTTTGCACGTAGTGACAGGTCACTTAAACAGACGCCTTTTGCAGCCGCTCAATATGAGTACCGACGCTACGTTGTGGAATGCGCTTAGCTTCATTACTCCTCATTCGACCTTACCGGCAAGGGAGGCCCTACCAGTAGCAAGCTACCGCCGGCATCGCTCGAAGATTCATCGTAACTGCTGTGCCTCCTCACTACGTCAAGGTGGCAATCCCCGAGATGGGGCGATTTTTATAATGGATCAAAAATTAAAACAACGTGTGTGTATTAAATTTTGTGTCGCAAATGGATTCAAGTGTGCCGAAACATTAATGTTAAAAAAGACCTTTGGTGATTTGTGTGTGTCGCAACCACGAGTATACGAATAGTTTAAAAGGTTCAAAGACGGTCGTTTAAGCTTGGACCATGATGAGATTCTTGGCCGCCCAACAACTTCTATTACTGAAGAAAACATTGAATCGGCGAAGCAGATCGTGTTGGAAAATCGTTGTGAACCGATTAGAGAGATTACAGTGTTGTTGGGCATCTCATATGGATCGGCCGAACACATTTTAATTTATGTTTTGGGTTTGAAACGCGTCGCTTCTCGACTGGTGGCAAAATAGCTGAATTTCATTCAAAAAAGGCGTCGTTGTAATGTGGCCAAAGAGATGATTTCCAACGCAGATAGTGACCCCACATTCATTGAACGCATCATAACTGGTGATAAGACATGGGTCTATGAATTTGACATGCCCACCAAACAACAATCGACAAAATGATGCTTCGAAGGTGAGCCTAAACCAAAAACAGTTTTTTGCGTTTTTTTTTAAATTCTCGTTCTTTTTTGATTATAAGGTACATACCTGCAAACTGTTCATACGTTCGTATTTTAGATTTCTGTGAATGGAAATTTATATTAAATTACATATTTAAAATAAAAATGAGTAATATATTAAATAAAGAATCCATTTGTACTGCGAACAGCTGTACACAAACATTTGTGTGTACATTTTTTCGTAGTATTAATTTTAAAATTAAAAATAAAATAGAAGACATTGTTAAAAAATTTTGGAAAAAATATATCATTGAAGACAATAAATTATTGTTCCATTTGGATTCTCCATAATTTGACAATCGCTCAAAAAAAGGCACGTGTTGATTGATGCAAGGAAATACTGAAAATATATGGCCGAAGAGCACTTAAAACGTCGAACTGATGTGTCATTCGCCTAATAGTCCCAACAAACAGTCGCAAACAGGAAAAATGCGTGGCGATTGTTTTTCTACTCTCGAACAGGCTGTTGAGACATTCAAAAACTTAATTTTAGATATACGAACTTTAGAACGGCGAAGGTTTTGATCATCATGGAGAATACTTGAAAGAACAATAGGACCATTATCACTGATTAACCACTGTGTTTTCATTGTTAGCCGTAAGACTTCGACGGTAGCCCTGGTATAACATAATATATGAATAATGGTATGAATAATGCAGTCGTTGATACAACAGTGTAGTGGAAAAACGAATTTAACCACTTATCAAATAATATCGTCCAATTTTTCCATGCAGTCAACAAAGAAGGGAAGTTTGGGACTCACATTTTCTGTAACTTGTACTTTTACCTTTACGGCTTATAGGGTGAGGGGTGACACAAAAAAAAAATATTGTTTCTCTAATAGATAGGTAGAGAACATTTGAAATATTAAACAAATTGTACGGTTGCTATATATGCAGTACAAAACCAAAAATATAAGCACTTAACTGACTTGTTACAGAAGCAAATTACACCAGTATGCCATTAAAAAACCAAAGCCATGTATTATTTTTAAAAATTATTTGAAGATAATTGCCAAAAGTTTGTAAAGATGAAAATTCTAAATAAATTAATTAAATATCATTTAGAGCAGTTGTAAGTTAACTTCTTTTAAAGCTCCTGTTTTTTTTTTTAAAAGGCTTATACGAATAAAATAAAAGCTTGTGAAATAGTTTTTATTTTTATATAGTCTTCTATATAAATATGAATGACGTTTCAAAATTTGTTTGAGTTCTTCCTCGGGGCGGAGTATTATTACAACTGAAAACTTGGAACCATAGAAAGCAGTTATTTATACTGGAATCTGTTTACAAATTTCATTTTAAATAATAAACACTAAATAAATAATAATAGTAGATAAATAGTAAATAGTAGTAGGTAGTTGGTGTTAATGTTGTCACTACCCTCTTTCCTGTTTATAGTTCCGTCGATGATTTTTTGTTATGGGTTTTCTATTCTCAGCGAATTTTGGGATATATAGTTTGTTTATATATGGTGTTTGTGTCTAGGTTCCTCGATATACATAGTTATTAATTTATCGCTGTATTTTATTGATTACAATATTTACATTCAATGTTTCAACTATTCATTTGTTTGAACGAGATGTGTCAGACACGTAGTCGCCACATTTACATTTAATGTTTTAACTATTCATATGTTCGAACGAGATGTGTCAGACACGTAGGCGCCACAGATCTATTATGAGCGTAGAGCTGTCTTTATGTGACTTTAAATAGAATTGAAATTAGATTTACGAGTCGAAATCCCTTAACCACATTATAACATTTTCTTCCTGACACTTTCTTTCAGATGTTGCAACATAATTGATAATATCCATTCGGGATTATCAGGAAATCCGGAAAAGTGAATTTTGGTTAGAATGAGAGATGGAGAGGAATTAAATTACTGCAATTTTGCCATATAGATACCATCTGGTCCCGAGGATTTATAAAGACCAAATTTGCTGATAGTCTACTCGATATTTTCCGCTTTTAATAAAACATTATGTTTCTCCAATGGTCTGTTTGTAGTAATGCAGTCATTTGTGCATAACTTACTGCTGCTTTCGAAAACTGTATCTAATAAAAGCCCTACCGATTCTTTGCGGGATTTAGTCCATCTGGACCCTTCAAATCGCTGAAGTTGCATTGTGTCTTGACTTAGATCTTTAATCTGATATGTTTTCTATACCTTTGCAGTAATTTAGTTAAAACTTAGGCTAAAGATTATTTATTGTTCTTTTATATTTCATTAATTCAGTCTTGTGAGCTTCTCAGTACAAGAACCTGCCTTAAGTTTTAGTAGTGCTGATCATATTTTGGCTAAACACATGAACTGACTCTAGGCTCTTTAACTTCGGGTATTATAATATATAACATTTGCTGATATATAAGTACGCTGTTTACTTGTATGCTGAGTGGCAATAACTTTAAAATCCTTTATACTTAAAGGAGCAAAATTGTGATTACTCGCGCTATGTAAATACACAAGTGAGTAGCCATACTTTATTTGTGTGAAATTCGGAATATCACCGATGAATTAAAATGCTTAATTCAGCATAAAAATAATAACCACCAAATTTAATAAAGAAAACGTTGCAGCTATTACATATATATGTTATTATAATTGATATCATTATATGACAATAACTAACTATTCAATTTTACTCTTTTACAGGTCAGATATAGTTCTTCTGTGTTTTTCAATTGCTAGTCCTATTTCTTTAAGAAATTGTAAAGCAATGTGGTATCCAGAAATAAGGCGCTTTTGTCCAGATGTTCCGGTAATACTTGTAGGTTGTAAAAATGATCTTCGTTATATGTATAGAGATGAAACATATTTGTCTTATTTTGGTGAAAGAAGTACATTTGTAAGGTAGTTATTGAGTCCTAGGTATTATATCCAGTTAATTGTAAAATTCGTTTAAGGGCTGCTTTAAAAAGTGATCTTGTTATGCCTGATGAAGCGAGAGCAGTGGCTAAAGAATTAGGTGTTTCATATTACGAAACGAGTGTGTTTACGTACTTTGGTGTTAATGAAGTATTTGAGAATGCTATACGATCAGCATTAATAGCTCGTCGCCAACAAAGGTTTTGGATAACGAATTTAAAAAAAGTTCAAAAACCGTTGTTACAAGCCCCATTCCGACCACCGAAACCGCCACCACCCGAAGTTACCGTTATGGTTGGAAATTTTCGGCAAGATATGTTTAATATGCTTATATCGCAATCATACACAGATATCGTACTTATTGTAGGGGCAACAAAGTTTTCCGTTCATAAATTTATGTTGACTGCTGCTTCTGCTGTTTTTTGCCGTCTTTTAAATAATGAACTTTTAGATCTTGGTGGCAGAAGTACCAGTGAATCTAGCATGGTATAAATTGAATTTTTAATTGATTTTAAAATGAGATTAAAATGAATATTATTTGAATAGGTAAGCTCAACATTTGGGGAAGCAACAGCAGGAGATTTCAATGACGATACGGAGTATTTGATACGTCACGAATCACGTACACAAAGGTTTGAAAATCATTAATATATTAAACAAAACAGGAAACTATGTTTATTTAATTGAGTAGAATGTGGGAGCATTTAAAGCGACGTTCCAGTTATCAAGCTCTTCCTTTAGTTGAAACAAAGAAGCCAAATGATTTATGTAAAGATTTTCATCATCCAATTTTTCAAAATATACGTATTGCACAATTAGAAAATAAACATGGTGTTAATATTACTCAAACTGTTGTTACTTTCACAAAAATACTTAAGCCTCAAATTATGCAACAATGTCTGAAATTTATCTACACTGGCACAATCGAAAAAGAATATAACAATTTACAGGTATATTTTTTAATATATTTTACATTTTTAAGGTATATTAGTTAATGCTTACAAATTTAATTATTTAATTAATAAATAAAAATAAATTACCTTTAATTATGTATATTTTGTTAGCAAAATATTTGCGAATTGCAATTTATGTTATTAATACTTCTTATTTAAAATAAAGGTTTTGAATAAAGCTTTTATTTTATTTTTATTTGCAATTTAACAATATTTCGTTCATAAAACTTTAGAGCAAAATATGATTTAAACGTTAATAACGCAAACATATAATTTAATTTTAAAATTTGATCAAGCAATTACAAGTAATTTTTTTAGCTTTACACGTCAGTAATATCGCTTTCTAATAATTTAATATAAGCTAATATTGTCTTATTTATATTGAAATGCATAAATGAGAATTAAATTTGATTCTTCACATAACATATTTATTAATTCTTTTTAAATATAATAGTAGGAACGCTGTTATTTATATAAAAATTTAATAATGGTTTTTTTTTGCTAAAGTTTTTAATCAAAAGTTATTATTTACAATTTAGTTAACAATTTTATTGAAGTAATATCCTTTTCTTTGGCAAGAATTCAAATGTTATTAAATATACAGTAGAATTTCGAAAAAATTAACCAAAATGTCTGAAGGGTTTAACTTAACTATAACTTAATTTTTAGTTAACTTTTTTCATTTATCATTTTTCTAACTGGTTATCAAATTAAAAAAAAACAATGTTGCTTTCAATGATTTAGTTTTCATCATTACAAAAAAAAAAAACACTTATTATTATACGAATTTTAAAATGATTGTGGGATATAGAGATAATGCGTCGAAATTCAGATGAAAAATAAATAAAATAGCAGTTAAAGAAATATATTAATTACTTGTAAAATAAAGTTTGACGTATATATACTGAAATTTCTACAAATGTTGCTTAAAAATAATTATAAATTACTAGATAACCCGGCAAACATTGTTTTGCCGAATAAATTATTTCCAAGAATTATTTTTTTTTTTTAAATAAATAATAACAAATGTACTGTAGATGTGTGGAGATGCGTTCTATGATAGAAAGAGGAATTCAGCGCTGTAGACGATGACCGCCGATAAAAACACCAACCATTCGTTTTCTTAATTCAATGTATTTCATTTAAGTAACGGACGTATTCATGAAAAATAAAGTGAATCAATATAGATTTCGAAGAGCAATATAGTGGATTTTATTTTTTGTCAGTCCGTTTTTAGTCAACACAAATAGGCTTGATGGTTTGCCCACGCGAGAACATGCCACGTATAGTTGTCCGTGTGAAAAACATGGTGTGCTCAAATCTAAGCCGTAAACAGACATCGTTTGAGCTTCCGACTTATTGATGGTCTTTGCGAATGCCAATTTAATAGGAAATTTAACGCGTTTGAATTCAATTGACATGTCTGTGGAAATGATTGAAATTCGTGGCACTAAAACATTTTTGTCTCGGAACTTGACATTCAAAGTGGTGGCTTCGATAATGTTTTTCATCAATTTTTTAATAACCAACCGCATATCATTGCATCGCCGTGGTGAGTTCAAATTCCTAAATAAAATAAGCGGTGTTCAACCGGTGCACTGATAAATCCAGTGAGTTTAAAAACTCTGCTGGGTGATTCACAGTTTCGTTGGCATCACAAACTGTTTCTACCGATTTTATATGGTTCGTTTAGCATTGGTTGCAATGAACTCACATTGTGATACACTTAGCCTTTGATTATAAACGTTGAATTGAATTATTGATCATTTGCCATAGTATTGTGAACTACGAGGGTGGTTTGATGAGTCAGTGACTTTTTGAATTTCCAGTGCAGTTACTCCAAATTCAACAGTGCTGCCGTCAGCTGTAATCTACCAGTGGGCAACTTTCTAATTTTGAGCAAGCCACGTCGTTCAGTTAGTGTTTGATAGTCGTTCAAAGCAGACAACCTCGTGAATTTTTACGAAAATGGAAAAAAGTGAAACGTAAAAAACGTATTTTATTATTTCAAATACGTTTTTGTTTTGGATGCAGTATTTTCCTAAAGTTGGTCAAGAAATTTCGACTTCTGCATTAAAATCCATAAGAACAAGATCGGTCATCAATTTTTGATTCTCGCGTAGAAAGCATCTTTGATTTTTGTCTTTTGTTTCTTTCGGCGTGTGTACTAAAGTAAGATGATGTTAAAAAATGTTTTGTTGGTGCAGATAATGACATGTCTTTCATTCAATGGTCTTAATCGTTTAAATGATTTTGAAAACCTCTTTCTAACTACAAAACCGCATCTGTTTACATATCAGGCGTAGCATATATTACAGTTTGCATGCTAAAGTATCCTTGTTTTGTACGTCGTATTTCCTGTATCTTAGTGATACCAGGCTTACAGTTATTTAGAACTTTTACCAGTTGGAAAGATAATCTATGTTTGAGATCAATTTCTGGGGTTTGTTGGCGTTCTAGTTGATAACCCAGCATGTGCTACGTAACTATCCAGGTTAAATTCAATCGCACATATTCTGTGGTGTACTTACTTTCAGAGAATAATAGCCCAATAACTATTTTATTTTTTCTTGCTTAATTACAAAAAAGTGCGCTAATCAAACGTGAATTGCAAAATTTAAATTTTTTGTATTAATCGTCATGCTTGTCAAGCGTTTATTAAAAGCACGCACTACATTGTGTAAAGAACCATTATTTCAAATGTAATGTCCAATGCTGCTTTCTATAAGTGCATGGGAGTAACTTTTAGTGTTAATAGCTTCAAAGTGTTTATAATTAAACGTCATTGACTATTTTTAATAAAACTTTATGTACTTTATGGTATATTCACTTCATTTCTCACTGATAAAATTGTTTATTTATACAGGAAATAAAACAGGCTGCTAATTTATTAGAACTGCCACAATTAGCTTTACTGCTTTCAAAACCACAAAGTGTTTTGGCTAATCTTAATGAACCAAATCAATATTTTTGCCTTGTAAGTTTAAAGTACGATACTAACTAAATGTGATTAATTTTAATGGACTCTTTCTGTCTATAGAGTATAAAAGAAAATATGGAAATGCACTGTATTGGTAACGGCAGCTTTACTGATGTCACATTCGAGTTGGATGACGGACAAATGAAAGCACATCGTGCAGTGTTAGTAGCGCGTTGTGATGTTATGCGAGCTATGTTAGCAGGCGATTTTCTTGAGGCTCACTCAAGTATCGTAAGTTAAGATTTATATATAATTTTTATTTTTCCATGTTTTGTCGCGTTACGAAACATAAAATTGTGATTAATGTAAAACTATACCTTTTATTAACTTTTTTTTTACAGATTGTATTTCCAGGTGTAACTATCTATACTTTTCACAAATTGCTTTCTTATTTATACACTGATGAAATACCTCCCATTTCAACTGATAAGTGTTTAAATTTATTGGAATTATCAAACCGTTTATGTTTGCCGCGCTTGTTAAACCTAGTAGAATGTAGAGTAATTGAAGATTTAACAATAATATCTCAAAATAAAACTAATGAAACAGTAGATCATTGTTTAAAGCTTCTCGAACCTGTGAAGGTAAGTGTATATATATAAACAGATTCATTTATTTATTATCTTTATATAAAAATTTATTTTAGTTGCACAATGCTCATCAATTGGCCGAATGGTGTATGTCCTACTTGTGTGTTAATTACAACATAATTTGCAAATTTTCACTTAAAGGCTTAAAAGCTCTGCACCAAGATAATCAAGAATATTTGCGCGAACATCGTTGGCCTCCTGTGTGGTATCTAAAAGATTATGACTACTATCAGCGATGTATGAACGAAATGAATAAGGAATTAAAAAATTCTAGACGTGATTCACCAAGTGATGACGAAGGGTGCCTATGTTTTAGCGGAAGTACGTAAAATATCTATAACTATACAATTATTGAAATATCGAACTACTGTTATTATTAAAAGTCCTCTTATTTTTTAGATGATTCTTTAAAAAACAGTGAAAGTTCGTTTAAGAAATCAATGATTCGACTAGCAGTTCTGTTTAGTTAAGATAATTTTCCTTCAAAATAATATGCTTTTCATAAAAAATGAATATTTTGAAAATTCAGCCGTTGAAAAGCGATTATCGGAACCCCTTATATAAGTTTATTAAATTAGAATATCAGTAAGGTCTTGAACTCATTTGTATGGGCAGCTGCGTGGTTAGATATCAAATGTAAAGAAATTAATAACACACCCTACTTGGATTGTTGGACAATTTTAAATATTTTCAGTAAATATGCGATTGGTATATATTATAATATGAATGATGTTTAATAGTATTTATATTTCTGGTAGTTTGAACAACATACTACGATAATAGACCATTGTGCACTGCATTTATATTCTGTTATAACTTGCAGCTGCCGTCACTTTTAAATATGAAGAAAGGCGCGAAAATTGTGAGTTTTATCAGTTTTGCGATGATATTGAGCGACAGGTTAATATTATTATATCAGTGGTTTGTTTTTTTTTTTTTTTTAATATTTTGGACTTTAAACTGAATAAGAAAAGTTAAACTGTATTAATTGTATGTATATTAATAATTGTAATTTTTTTTTTTGAAAAATGATCAATTTAATCAGTTTTGCCAATTATTGGAGGCGATGCGCGAACGGAAGATATCAACTAATAATTTTTATTTTTTTACAGTTTTCTACTCTATACTAGAGGCAACTTTAGCGCACTGTAGCGTTTCGAAAAAAAAAATTGTTATTTTTCGAACCACCCTAATATATAGTGTTTTATGCTTGATGTTTTGCACGCTATCAGAATCTCTCTTTTCACCACTTATAGCCAGACAACTACTCATCCTCTTCGTACATACTTTATGATTTATTACTTTTATTTAAAAATTTCATAAAATATTTTAGCAAAAATTGACATAATGAAACATTGCCCCAATTAAGAAAATTTTTAATTTACAAGCTCGTCTTCATTAAATAACTTTGCCTTCGTTTTCTTCTAACCAATTTATATGTTACTCTTTAAACTCAATCGTATATAGTTTATTCCGACCAATCTAGCATATTTTACAATGTAGACTTTTTACGAATGTATCCAAAAATTATGCGAAATAATAGTTTGTGGTGTCACTAACTACAACCTGTTGACTGCTGAAGTAGCAAGAATATTAAGAATCAAGCCAGCTGAGCAAATTTTACTAAATTTTAAAAAATTGTCTGTCAAACTTTTTGAGTGTAAAAATCAGATTTATTGATATTCATTCGATAAAGTCGCGGAAACTGGGCTAAGTTTATACGACTTGAACGATTGAATTTGTTGCTAAGAAAAAAGAACACGAAAACTAAGCAATTATATTTTCATTGCTAAAAGTTGATAAATTTATATTTTTCTTAATAGTGTAAATTATACTATGGTATTTAATACTAAAAAATGTAAGATGAATTTTAAAAATTTAAGTATTAAAAAAATACAAATATAATTTTCCAGAAATAAATTATTATTTTATGTCTATCTGATAATAGTTTCTAATATTGTCAGTGTCCTTTTTTATGTTAATGGTCCGAGTTGTTTTTTTTAATGTGTATAATTTTCTTAACTTAATCTTATATTGTAATTGTTTTCTCTATCTATTATTTTGGTGTTGTTAAAATCAGCATAGTGTCAAGTTAGTAATAGAGATTTTGATAATTCTGCATCTGTCGTTTGTGTTACTCAATATTTGTGCTTAAGCCTTTCTTAATTGTAACGATCTATATATTATTACAGCTGTCATGGTTTATTTCGTTGCGTTTTATTTCATAGACTATGGTTGGTTTTTTTAGGTTTTTATGTTATTTTGTATATTATTGAATACATATTTCACCGTGTTTATTTTTTAGTGTCGTGGCTTTGATTTGTTCAATTCTTTTAGGATTAACATATGGTTTGATGTTTTTTTTATTTATTACAGCAATGATATCGTCAACATATTTATAGTAATGTTTACATTTTATTATATTCTTCATTAGGTTATCAATTGTTTTATTTAGTATTTTATTTGAGATCAATAAAAAATTTTAATTTTAAAAAATATAATCAGAAGTGCTGTACCAAATTTTAGTTTATCAGGTTTGCCACACCATATTAATGCTATACTTTTAAAGTGCCTGACAACCGCTTTTATGTACTTATAAAACTTACTAAGATAAATATTGTAAATTGAGAGACTACTTTAGAACTACAATGTTTATTAAACGCGGCAATATTTAAATCCAATGTTTGTATAAATCAGTAATTTATTTCATGCACTTACCAAATCTTTTACACGAAGATATGCAATATAGCTATAATTACTTTTTTGGTTTGGTTTTTAATTCAAAATTAAAAACGAATTTTTTAAAATTGAACTTTCACGCTACCTTTACAAAAATGAAAACTTGAAAATAAAAAGAAAGTCTATAATGTCATATTAATTTGTAGTGTTCTCCGGCATATATTGTTATGATAAACAAGTTTTTTTCACCTATGAATTGGCAAAAATGCACTATTAATCTCTATTGTTTTAGGATTAAATTTTTAAAAAATATTTTTTATTTAAATATTTCGGTCTACTTCCAAGATCATCTTTAGTATACATAAACATATACATAAAAGACCTTCTGTGTTCTGTTTATAGTTTAGTCTCTGGAATCTGCTCGGATACTCCGTATTCTGGAATCGCATTTTAAGTATTAGTCTATATCTGTAATTTGATTCCTGTATATATGATCAGAACCTTTTCAAAATTTGGAGTATGATCTATCGTAAAGCAATAGATTGTTATGCCCATGACTTATGTCAATGCTTAATATGACAAGTCATTGCATTGTAGACAAAACAAATGTGACATTATTTATTAAATGTACTTTTATTGAAGTGCAAAATTAAATATGGCGGCGACGGATTTAGTAATATGTTAGTAATATGTTAAATCTGTCGCAGCCACATTTAATTTTATATATGAAATCGTGCTTTGTTGTGTCGTTGTCAACTAAAGTTTTGATGTTTTTGGTTACATTCAAGATGTTTGTAACAAACTGTCAACAATTATATTTTTAAATACACATAGAAAAAGTTTGCATCCACCTACAAAATTTTTCTTAACTCTTATTATATTTAATTTTTACTCAAATTGATTTTTGTTTTCTAATTTATTTTAACCAGAAAGTAAAAATGAAGTTCAAACATAAAAAATTAACAGTTATTACAGTTGTGACAATTATTCTTTTAAAAAATAGTTTTAACACAATTATATGCAAAAGCAATAATTTTCGAAGCAGAAAAAGTCTGCGTACACTTTTTAATATTTAGATTTACCGTTAATTTAAATTTGCTTGCATACATAATCATGTAATTAAATGATATTTAATTATCAGTTGATTTCTTAAAAAATCTAAGAATTAATCATTTAAAAGTATTTTTGGATAAAAACAGTAAAATTTTACTATGGAAATTATCAGACGCCAAATTAGTGTTAGGGAACGACAAATAATTGTTAAATTTTGGAAAGATGGCGTAAGCCAACATAAAATTGGTGAAGATATGGGTCGTCAATATTCATCTGTCCAAAGAATTATAGACGGGTAATTACGTTTCTAAACCTTGCACAGGTGGCACTTTAATTCAGTCAGATAAAAACATAATGTCGAAATTCTTGAAAACAAATTATGTCCATGTACCGTGCAGAAAATTCTAAAGAAATGCATGTAATATTTGGAATCAAACGTAGAAAACTTGTGTGAAGAAAATCATGTAACATACAGCCTATTATAAACAAAACTTAATTTCAACGGTGAAACATGGTGGTGGAGGCGTATTGGTTTGGGGTGTATAGCAAGTAATGGTGCCGGTAAACTTGAGTTTATATAAGATTCAATGGACAAATAAATATTCTAAAAACAAATTTAAAAGAAAGTGCCATAATGTTAGGACTTAAGGCAACCTTTTTGTTTCAGCAGGACAACTTTAAGCATACAGCAGCGATTGTACGGAATTGGCTGTTGTATCATGCTCACACGCAACTTCAGACATACCACAATCACCAGATCATAATCCCATAAGACATCTCTGGGATTATTTTGAACAGAATATTTGCCAACACACGATTTCAGCAAGGATATGTTAAGAAATGTCATCAAATAAGAATGGCAAGAAATAAACGCACAGGATACTGTTAATTTTTTATGTTTGAACTTTATTTTTGCTTCTTTGGTTGAAATAAATCAGAAAATAAAAATCAATTTGAGCAAAAATTAAATTAATTATGTGAAATTTAAGAAAAATTTTGTGGGTGAACGAAGATTTTTTCTGCTATGTGTATGTATATATTTACTTGAAAAAAATACAAATTAAAATATAGCTAAAGAAAAATTATTTATATCAAGATTTGAACACATTTTTTTGATAAATATTTTAGTGAAAGTATTGTTTTTGATGAATATTGAAATAGACATTATAACGATACGGATTTGTTATTTGATTTACTGAGATAATACTCAGGCGTGGTCCGGGTCGTTGCAATAAATTTCTTTATATACTAGTTTGAGAGCTAGTAAAAGGTAATGGAGTGAAGAAAGTACGTTGTTTATTTAAATTTGAAAAGAATATTTTTATTATAAAATTTCTAATATTAGGAAATATGTGCTTATAGGTAAAATAATTCCAACCTATAGTGTTAAAATCTAAGGGGTTCAACAAGTTGTAGCCTATGGTATGACAATGCGTTATATTCTATAGAAGACTTAGTGATTGTGTAGAAGCCTAACTGTTCGGTGCATAGGCGCTAAGGATTTTTCATATAAAATCGACATCTATTTGTATGAAAAATCACTTTTATTCTTCGCATGTTCAAAGGTTGATGAAATTCTTGTCTAGTTTTTATTTTGCATTGCAAATGTCTTGTGCTGGCTATGCGTGTGGGTCTACGTACTTCACTGCTACATTTATGAAAATTGTTTACTCGATTTATTACCAATACGTGGTGGTGATTTTTAGTACTAATATATAAAAGGTATAAGTAAATAATGAATAATAAGGTATTATTCATTTATTTAAATATATTTCTTTATGTATTGCAAATATATTTCGTAGTTATTATGTGTTTACGTAGGGCGGAAATTTATACAAATTTCCGTCCTTATATAACATAATACTTAAATTAATAATCACTTAACTGTCCTGGTTTTTCACTATGTGCTTCTATAGCACCAAAAACTAATCATATCGTGTCAGTCCTTCAACATTGACATTATGTATTTTCAAGCCAGAAAATTTATATAGTCATCTTATTTTTAATTATCTAAACTTTTAATTTTTTGGGTTTAATAAAAGTTTACGCATCTTAAAACTACTTGATATATAAATTCTTATAATATAATTTATTAACATTAACATTTGGATATGAAGCTTTTTCTTGGATATTAGGTAAATCAAAACGTAATATTGGTTCAACTAATACAAGTGCCGAAAGCACAAACGATAATCAAATATTCAACTGCACAGGAAATTCAATTAACCATATCGAATTAGAGGCTGATATGGACCTTAATCTTTGACATCCAACAATTGGGCAAAGACGGTAAATATAAAATTATTATGTATTTATTTGAGATAATTATTTTTTTTATTGTTATATAACAGATCCCTACGTTTTATAGTTATTTTGCCTGTTCTAATATGCTTCATTTGTACAATCTTAAGCATTTTGATTTTGTTTCAAATTTACACATAACAATTGCAAATGAAATGTAATCATACGTTTTAAAAAAAAATAATGAGTTACCAAAAAATTTTAGCAAAAAAAAAATAGTTTACAAAACAAAAAACTTGACTAAGTTAAATCATTAAATTGAAAATAGAATTATCTATGCTTGAGTTTTTCTAAAATTAAAAACTTTAAGAAATAAAATTTTTTTAGCTGTTGGAAACTTCTACAATAATGAGAAATTTCTGACATTATTGATACATATTACAAATATTAAAAAATAGTGTAGTGGCAAACATAATGACATAAAGTCATACAATGTGTTATAACTTTAAGCTCTATTATAAGCGTAATCATTATGCATTTCCTAGAAAAAATAATTTTGTAAATCCTGGTGCGGGCTTGCAAACTCGACTGTGAGTCACGTACCGTGATTGTAAGCAAAACTATAAATTTGACAGTCAGATTACATGTAGGCATGTTCATGAAAATTTTTGTCAGCTCAACAGCGTATAATCAACATATTGTGAATTCAAGTTTGCTATTAAAATCTTTCATTATTAAAATATAAGTAAATACATCACTTCAAAAATTTTAATTCAAGGAAAAATCTTGATTATGAACAAATTGGAGCAAGACAGAATACAACTTAACTGACTG